TAAATAAAAACGTTGAAAAAAAAATTAAAAAAAAAAAAAGAACCAAGGAGAGCTGAAGAATGCAATAACTGAAATAAGAAAACACTAAAGGGAATCAACAGATTAGAGGATACAGAGGAACATATCAGCGATATGGAAGAGTAATACAACTAAACAAAAAGAAAACAAAATTAATGAGGTTAGATTAAGAGAGCTCTTAAGCAACATCAGGTGAAAAAACACTTGCATTATATGGGTCCCAGAAGGAGAGAGAAAGGTCTAGAAGACTTATTTAAAGAAATAAAAACTGCAGGAGTACCTGGGTGGCTCAGTCGGTTAAGTGTCTGACTCTTGATTTCAGCTCAGGTCATGATTTCACAGTGGTGGGATCGTGCCTCGCATCAGGCTCAGCATGGAGCGTGGAGCCTACTTGGGATTCTGTCTCTCTCCCCCACTCTCTCAAAATAAATAAATAAACTGGGGCACTTGGGTGGCTCAGTCCATTAAGCATCCAACTTCGCTCAGGTCATGATCTCACGGTTCATGTGTTTGAGCCCAACGTGGGGCTCTGTGCTGACAGCTTGGAGCCTGCTGAAGATTCTGTATCTCCTTCTCTCTCTGCCCCTCTCCTGCTCATGCTCTGTCTTGCAAAACTAAATGTTTTTTTAAAAAATTAAAAATAAGTAAACTTTAAAAAGAGAAATAACTGAAAACTTCCCTAACTTGAGGGAAATAGATATCCCAAGTCCAAGAAGCAAAGAGAGTTCCAAAGAAGATGAACCCAAGGCAGTCCACACCACGGCACATAATAATTAAAATGTCAAAGGTTAAAGATAAAGAGAGGATCTCAGAAGCAGCAAGAAACAAACAGTTACTTACAAGGGAAAATTTATAAAGCTATCAGCTGATTTTTCAGCAGAAACTGTGCAAGCCAGAAGAGAGTAGCATAGTATATTCAAAGTGCTGAAAGCAAAAAACCTACAACTAAGAATACCCAGCAAGGCTATCATTCTGATTTGAAGGAGAGATAAAGTTTCCCAGACAAACAAAAGATAAAGTAGTTTCTCACCATTAAATCAGCTTTACAAGAAATGTTAAAAGGACTTCTTTAAGTGGAAACGAAGTGGCCATAATTAGACATACGTAAAAGAGGAATAAAAAGATGTAAAATATGACAACATATACTTAAAATGTGGAGAAGCGAGTAAAAAGAGAAGGGGGAATCTTTTTGTTTTTAAGAATGTGTTTGAACTCAAATGACCATCAAATTAACCTGGAATGCCATTTAGTTAGGATGTAAATGGTAACCTCATGGTTACCATAAACCCAAAACATATGATAGACACACAAAAAATAGAAAGAAAGCCAAATAAAACACTATAGACATTCCTCGATCACAAAGAAAGAGAGTAAAAGAAGAAAGAAGAACTACAAAAACAACCAGAAAACAATTTTTAAATGGCAATAGGTACATACCTATCAATAATTACTTTAAATGTAAATGGCCTAAATGCTCCAATCAAAAGAGTAGTGGAATAGAAATAAAAAAACAAAAAACACACAAGACCCATCTATACACTGCCTACAAGAGGTTCAGCTCAGATGTAAAGACACATACAAACTGAAAGTGAAGGGATGGAAAAACATTCCACATGCAAATGGAACTGATCAAAAAGCCAGGGTAGCAATACTTATGTTAGACAAAATAGGCTTTAAAACAAAGATTTTAACAAGAGACAAAGCCATTACACAATGATAAAGGGATCAGTCCAACAGGAGAATATAACAACTGTAAATATCTATGCACCTACCACTGGAGCATCTAAATACATGAAGCAAATGTTAATGGACATAAAGAGATAAATTGATGATAATACAAAAGTAGGGGACTTTAATACTCTGCTCACATCAATGGATAGATAATCTAGACAGAAAATCAATGAAGAAACAATGTCTTTGAATGACATATTGGTCCAGATAGATACAACAGATATATACAGAACATTCAACCCCAAAACAATAGAATCCACATTCTTTTCACGTGCACATGAAACATTCTGAAAAACAGATCACATGTGAGGCCGTAAAACGAGCCTCAATAAATTTAAGACGACTTAAATCAAACCATGTATCTTTTCTGACCACCACAGTGTGAATCTAGTAATAATTCACAAGAAAAAAAACTGGAAAAAACACAAACACATGGAGATGAAACAACATGATACTAAACAACCAATGAGACAATGAAACAAAGAAGAAATTAAAAAAAAAAAAAAACACATGGAAACAAATGAAAATGGAAACATAATAGTCCAAAATCTCTGGGGCACAGCAAAAGCAGTTCGAAGAGCAAAGTATATGGCAGTACAGGCCTACCCCAAGAAACAAGAAAAATTTCAAATAATCTGACCTTAAGCCTAAGAAATTAGAAAAAGAACAACAAAGTCTGGGGTAAGCAGAAGAAAGGAAATAATAAAGATCAGAGCAGAAATAAATGACATAGACACTTAAAAAAGAAAATCAGTAAAACAAACAGCTGGTCCTTTCAAAAGATCAACAAAATTCACAATTCTTAGCCAAACAAATCAAGAAAAAAAAAGATAAAGGACCCAAATAAAATCAGAAATGAAAGAGGAAAAGTAACAACTCACATCACATAAATACAAAAAAATTATAAGAGATTACTGTGATAAGATATATTCCAACAAACTGGACAACCTAAAAGAAATGGATAAATTCTTAGAAATATGTAATCTTCCAAAACTGAACCAGGAAGAAATATAAAATCCGAATAGACTGATTACAGGTAATGAAATTAAATCAGTTATTTAAAAACTACCAAAAAAAAAAAAAAAAAA